TATTGAAGCTTCACATTTTCCTCATTCACATCAACAAACAACTGTAGAAGAGGGAAGCCGGGCAACGAGATTCAACCCAGTATGGACGGCAATGAAGTCGATGGTGAGGGAGCCGAAGGCAAGGAACTCCACGGTGAGTACTGCAGCAATGGTGAAATAACTTTGCTTCCTTTTTTGTGAAAGTTTTGAAATATTTCAGCAAGCTTGTGAAATAGTTCTCTTTCCTTTTTATACGTTTTCTTCATCTCCTTCCTCTGCTACAGATAAGCAGACCGAAAGTAACCAACAAATTGAGCATCTGTCCGACAACATGGTAGACTGCATTATGAAAAGTGGTAACTTAGTACATTAGTTATTTGGAATGCAATATTTTTCAATCTATATGAAATTTTAGTTAATTAAATACTTGAATCTGAGATATTTAATTGCTCAAATGCAGGAATGGAGGTTTACTCATCCGAGTTCGTTAGTGATGATTGTTTGGCTGATGATAGGTTGGGAGTAGAAACTGAGATTTTGGTTCCGAAGGTTGGTATGAAATTTGACAGTGAGAAGGAGTTATTTGAATTCTACAAGAAGTATGCTTACGAAATAGGATTCCCTGTTAGAAAAAGAAACTCTAAGAAGGGTGATGACGGGGTTGTTCGATACGTGAGCTTTACTTGTAGTCGAGAAGGACGACGGAAGACTAATAGAAGTACTTCTTTGAATCCTCCGCCAACGATTGAAATAGGGTGCAGAGCTAGGTTGACAACGTGTTCTGATGCTCGTGGAATATGGCGAATAAACGTTGTGCAGTTAGAACACAACCATAAGACAAGCCCATCTAAATCTAGGTTATATCGATGCAATCGAGAACTTAGTGCACACGTTAAAAGACGGCTTGAGGTCAATGACATAGCAGGGATCCCATTGCATAAGAGCTATAACTCAACTGTAGTGGAGGCGGGTGGATTCGAGAACATGACTTGTGTTGAGAAAGACTGTAGGAATTTCATCGATAAAGTACGGCGTTTAAGACTTGGTGAAGGAGATGCTGCTGCATTACAGAGTTACTTCTCGAAAATGCAAGCATGCAGTCCTGGTTTTTATTTCAGTATAGACTTGGATGAGGAGTCTCGGTTAAGAAATGTGTTTTGGGCGGATAATAGATGCAGGCAAGCATATAAAGAATTCGGTGATGTAGTTACTTTTGACACCACTTATCTGACTAACAAGTACGATATGCCGTTCGCTCCTTTCGTAGGGGTGAATTACCACGGGCAATCAACTTTATTTGGTTGTGGATTAGTTTCGAATGAAGATACAAATACATTTGTTTGGTTATTTAAGACATGGCTTGAGTGCATGTGGGGTCAAGTTCCTGGTGGTATAATTACAGATCAAGATCGTGCCATGCAAAATGCAATTGCAATTGTGTTCCCCAATACTAAACATAGATGGTGTTTATGGCATATTCTAAAGAAGTTGCCAGAAAAGTTCGGCGGTCATCGCGAAAAGGGTGCAATACTGTATGTCGTTCACGGTTTAGTATACGATACATTAGTTTGTGAGGAGTTTGAAGAAGGTTGGTTGAACATGCTTGCACATTTTCATTTGCAAGATAATGATTGGTTGAACAGACTTTATGAGAACCGAAGTCGTTGGGTACCATGCTATTTGAGAACTACATTCTGGGCGGGTATATCAACCACCCAACGAAGTGAGAGTATGAACGCATTCTTCGATGACTATGTGCACTCGAAGAAATCTTTAAAGCTATTTGTAGAGCAATACGAACGGGCTTTGAGAAGTAAAGTTGAAAAGGAATTTCAAGCTGATTTTAGATCATTCTCACAAATGGTTCCTTGTGCTACTAAGTACGAGATGGAAAAGCAATTTCAAGAAGTTTATACAATCTCGAAATTCAAGGAGTTTCAAAAAGAATTCACCTGAAAGGTTTACTGTGAAGTACTATCTGCGGAGGAGTTATGCGGGATAGCGAAGTACGAGGTCCGTGAAGATATCATCCTTGAGGAAGGGAGGAAGACAAAAAGATTTACAATTTCTTTTTGTAAAGACAACTGCGAGATTGTGTGTAACTGTCATTTGTTTGAGTTTCGAGGCATCGTTTGCAAACACGCGGTCTCAGTTTTAATTCGGAATGAGGTGTCAGTACTTCCGAAAAAGTACATTTTACGAAGATGGAGGAGAGATGTGAGTAGACCTTACACACGGGTGGCAACAACGTATGATGGTTTGGTGAGTACTCCTGAGCAGTTGAGATATGAGCAGTTGTGTGCTGCTCTAACTAAGATGGCTGACTTGGTTGCAGTTGATGAAGACCGTTCAAAGTAGTTAATGGAATGGATTGAATTGCAGACGAATGAATTGTTAAAATCGAAATGTAATCACTTGGCCGCACATGGACTTGGGGGAGGGAATGTAGAAAGTTTCAACATTTTCGATCCGAAGTGTGCAAAACGTAAAGGCGCTCCAAAGGAACTTCGTATCAAAAGTTCATTGGAGATGATAACAAAAAAATCAAGGGGTCGTAATAAGGTATGTTGTGAAGGTCATAATTAATTAACCACTAATTCTATTATTCATATGTCACAATTTTAATGTAAGTATATTGCAACACGTTCAGGTGACTCAGAACTCGACATGTTTGAACAAATGTAGTTTGTCCAATGACAATGTGTCAAGCAACTTACTAGTGCAAGAGGCTCAAGTGATGACCATAGCATCTTCACAAGTGTTTGAGACATAAGATAACATGGAAGTAATAAGAAGTTTGCAATGATCCATCAAGAAGTAAAGTTGGCATTTTTTTTTTAACCTGTGCAGTTGGCATTTTTTGTAACCTGTGCAGTTGGCATTTTTTTGTAACCTGTGCACTTGGTTTTGTAATTAAACTAGAATGACCGCATCTTTTGATTTTGATTATGATTATGTGGCTGAACAAAAATGACCACTATCTTTTGTAGTTACTCTACCTTCTTAAAGTCTGAGGCATGTCTATAAATCAACTTTCATTGTATTGATGTTTGGTTATTATTCTAGTACAGTTGCAGCATTTTTAGCTCACCAGAAGCATATAAATTTCAGTATACCAGCAGCTTTTTTAGTAAACCAGCAGCATTTTAGTTTGTTTAGGTGTTTATTTCAATTGTATTGCCAATTCAGTTCACCACCACCAGCATATTCAGATCAACACCAGCATATTCAGATCACCAATTTGCCTGGGTTGATGTTAATTGAAAACTGGAAACTAATTCTTCCTACAAGAATAAGTTCACATTCACAGCCACCCAAATGAACACCAAACTCAACAGCACAATAAACACCAAAATTAACACCAACAACTAAAGGACAAATACTAAAGTCTCATTAATATTGGTGAATCAGATTACAGTATCTTCCCACATACAAAAGTGAAGAACACTAGTTAGGACCACTAATTCGTCACAGCAACATTCTTTCCTCAATTTTACAGTCACCCAACTGAACTCCAACTACACATACACAACACACTACACCTAAAAGAAAACATACTACACATCACAAGTGGTAGGGAAGGAAACTAACGACAAAATAATAGGACCAAGAGAATTTATGTTCTCCAGAAGAAGGGCAATCACAGCAAGACAGTGTAGCCACCA